AGCCATGTGTGGTGCAGCAGGCAGGTCTCGGGCATCTCATGGCCCTTTCCAAACCTCTGGGGTCTGCAGTGGCAGGAAACGTACCACCCAACCTCGGCTTGTCACCTCGGGGAGGAGGAGCCAGGTGGGCCGTCGCAGCTCCAGGGAGGGCTGTCAGCTCCAGGCCTTCGGGGCCTTGCGGGAGGCGAAGGAGGCGCTTCGGGCTGGGGCCAGGGCTCCAGGGCCAAGGAAGCGCAGCGAGGGCTGCTCAGCGTAGGGGGTAGGTGCCCCGCGGCCGCCAGGCGGGCCGTCCCTGCCCGCCCGTCGCTCGCCTCCCCGCCCCCCCGGCTTCCTGCGGAGGCCGCGGCCGCCATGTTGTTGTGGAGCTGAGGCGGCGCCGGAGGAGCCCAGCGGCCGTGACAGGCTGCGCAACAGGTTCGCCACGGGCGGCGGAGCAGGATCTCCCGGCGCCCGGCCGCGCCCGCGCTGCGGGTGCTGAGGAGCGCGGGATCGCGCGGTGACGTGCGCGAGGCTCCAGGTGGGTGAAGCCGCCTATTAGGGCTGCGGTGGGGCGCCGGGCAGGTGCGGTGCTGCTGGCCGAGACTCTGCGGGCTCCGCGGGCCTGGCCGAGTCGACGGCGCGCCACGAACGGCCTGGACTGGCTCTCGGAAGCCGGTGCGGCCCCCGCCCTAGGCCCCGGTGCGTTCGGCCGCGCCAGGCGGAAACCTCCGGCGCCGGGTTCCTACGGCTGCTGCGCCGCCGCCTGGTCACCGCGGCCGGCATTGCCAGCTCCTCGCCGCGGCCTCGTGTGGCAGGTGGCGGCCGCCGCTGAGGACCTGGACTTTCGGGGTGGGGGCTGGAGAGAGCCTTGGGGACCCGTTTTATTTTGGTGAAGTGGATTTTCCCTTCTTGGTTGCTGCATAGGGTCAGGTGAGCTGCATCCCAGTGCGTCAAAGTGGGCCGAGTCACGAGAGGACGGTGGGCGGATGCTTGGCGTCCTCGACTCGTTATAACAGCTAAAGTTGAGAAATGTTAAACATTGACTTCTGCATTATGGGCTTGCAGAGCATATAGGAAGCCCGACAAGAAGTAATCCTTACAGGCAGAGTAAAGTTCATTGCTTAAGGAGGGGGGGGGGGAACACGTCTGCAAGTGCATAGTGAATGGGTAAATCGAGGCTGCAACTGCAGATGGCTTTCATTCTGCAGAGAGATGCTATTTGCATGTATTGATCATGTGTTGTGTGGTTCAGTGATTGCCTATGGCAAGTCTGCTTCATTTGAAACTTGCATTCATAATGAATTAGGAACATTTTGGCAAGAGCCAACTACTTTATAATAGCAATTAAAGTTAGTACAAAAATTACTGCTTCCCTGCATGCCTCACTGTTGTACTAGTGTTTATTGCTTACTCAGGGGTGGCAAGGCGTGACTTGAAATTTAGGTAGCACAGACTGTAGATTAAGCTTCTTAAGCCTCTCAGAAATTGCCTCTCTCCCTCTGCAGGTTTGCTATATTGTTAATCAGTGAGAAAACCGAAAAGCAGCCTAGAAATATCACATACAACCTTTACACAAATTGATGCGAGTCCTGCAAAATTCGAAGATACCGGTAGAAACTCTGATGTTAAAAGCAAGCAAAGTTGAAGTGCTTCACATTTTTTGAAAGATGCAAAAAAAAAAAAAAAAAAAAGGTGCCTTGCTACTGTTTTGATGTAATATTAATATGCAGGTGAAAACTTGCAATTTTTACCCTTTAATGCATTCACGAGTATTCCCTTTATTCGTCTTTATAATATTGGTTAGTGAAAACTTGACCAGTATTTAATTATTGAGTAGAAAGATACCATTGTTAGTTCAACACATCTCAAGGCTAAAATCCTGATTTCTCCTGAGTGTGAAGAAATATGTTAGAGATATTCTGGGGATTGAATTTGTTTTGTTTTGTTTATTTCACAAAAAAATAGACTAGCACACACACATTACCCAAACTTAGCTTTCAAGACTTTATCTTTTACCGTTTCATTTTTTTTAATTTATTTTTATTTTTTGCATGTATGAGCATATTGCCTGCATGTATGTAAGTACTCCTGTGTCTTGCAATGCCCACGGAGGTCAGAAGAGGGCATTGGATCCCTTGGAACTGGAATTAGGACAGTGGTTAGCTGCCATGTGGGTGCTGGGATTCAAACCTGGGTCCTCTGCAAGAGCAGCCTGTGCTCTTAACTGCTGAGACATCTCTCCAGCCCCCACTTTTTCATATTTATATCTTTTAGTCATTTTATCCTGTAGTCTAATCTCTTATTACAAACTGGAAATTTTCTTATATACCTTAGAACTTGTAGGTTTGGGGTGTGTGTGTGTGTGTGTGTGTGTGTGTGTGTGTGTGTGTGTGAGGGATTGAACTGAGAGCCTCACACTTGCTAAGCATGATCTCTGCCAAAATATTTATTTTATGTGCATGAGTGTATGTGAGTTCAACCGTGTCATGCAATACCCACGGAGGTCAGAAGGGGGCATTGGATCGCCTAGAACCTGAGTTATGGAAGGTTGTCAACCACCCTATAGGTGCTGAGAATTGAATCTGGGTCCTCTGCAAGAGCAGCCAGTGCTCTTAACCACTGAGACATCTCTCCAGCCCCACAGGATTTTTAGTTTTAATGCATCTTTAATACAGAGTTTCACAACGTCCCATCTTTTTAGCAAAATGAAAGCATATTTATTGGCCATCTTCAATTAAACTTCCTTCAGTATTACAACATATCTACCACAATTGTCATTTACAGAGCACTTGCTAATAGTCAAGCCTATGTTCAGTGTTTCATATAATTATTTAAAGCACAGAAAAGCCCTATGAGTAATTATTGTCTTCCCATCTAATAGATAAATGAAATGTTAAATTGGAGTTTAACTGACTCAAGGCCTCAGAGGTGGCAAGTACAACAGCTAGGTTTGAGACCAGGATCCTTTTAACTTGATGGATATTCAATCTTTTTTGAGTGAGCTAGGTTTGTCAGTTCCAGGAAGGGCTGCCAGGCCTCCCTGTGAAGAGAGACCAGAGCTCTGTGACTCTGCATATCATCCCTTGATTTATAAGACAGAACCTCATTATTTAACCCAGACTGACCTGAAAGTCACTGTATAGCCCAGGTTGGCCTCCAATTTAGGATCCTCCTGCTTCTTCAGTTTACTCACTTTTTGGATTATATGTGTGTGCACAGAATTTTTACTTACTGTATTTATTTGTGAAACATTTATATTATAGTCTGGGTCTATAAATTATTCAGAATAACCCAATTACAATACCAAACTGTGATATATTTGTTATTTAATAGTTGCTTGGGGGAAGGGTTGTATTAAGCACCTTACTTATGGAAAAAATTTTGGAAAATTGTTTTTAAAAAGGCTAAACAAGGGAAGATGTTTTTGGTGTGCTAATTGTTAAAGACGGATTCCAGATGTGACATAAGAGTATTTCGGTTATTTCTGCAGTTGCATAACTTTGGACCTGAACATGCATCAGAATTGTATTTCTACTTGGTTTATTTAAACTTAGCACCATCCTACAGCTACTGAGTGCAGAAAGTGTGTGCATAGGTATTCTTGAGAAAGAGGAACTGAACTGGCCCTAAAGGATATGAAGGCAGAGAGGAAGTGGGGGAGGAAGGAAGGAAACTGAGCAGAAATAGGACTGTGAATAGACCAAGAAATAGTGTATTTTTGACATGTCTAAGAGGGCAGCGGATTTCATTTGCAGTATTTTGAAAGAGTCAATTAAAAAGTAATTTCACAGCTATATCAAGACCCTGAATGACTTTGCTACTTGCTATAGAGCTATTCAGTTGTGATTATGGCAGGAATCTAGGGGTTGACCAGATGGTAGACTTAACTTGTTTTATTTAGCCAATTGTTTATATTTTCTGGATCCTTTTCTTTGTGAGTACATATTCGATTTAGAAAATGTCTACAGTTTCGGGTCTGGAGAGATGGCTCAGCGGTTAAGAACACTGGTTGTTCTTGCAGAAGACCCGGGTTCAAATCCCAGCACCCACATGGCAGCTAACAACTGTCTGTAACTCCAGTCCCAGGGGATCCGACAGCCTCTTCTGACCTGCGTGGGCATTGCACGACACGGGTGCACTTACCTACATGCAGGCAATACATGCATAGACATAAAATAAAAATAATAAAAAATTTTTTTAAAGTTTTACAAAGAAAAAAAAAAGAAAATATCTATGTTTTAATAAAAATTTCATGTATCTTTATAACTATGCTGGAGAAAAGTATAGGCTTTCCAGTTAGACCTCCTGCCTCAGCTCCAGTATCAGATAGTTGTATGACCTTAGGCAAGTTCCTTTAATTCTCAAATTTCTGTTTCTTCTTCATCTATAAAGTGAGGTTAATAATAGTACCTGCTTTATAGTGTTGTATGTAATATAAGGTGCTTAGCACAGTGACTGCTTAATGTAAATACCCAGTAAATGTTACCTGTTAGCATTCTAGCTTGATTCAGTGAGGAATTTCGAACCAATTAATCTTTTTTTTTTTTAAATATACTCAATGACTGGAAAATAAATCAGCTTATTTTGGCCCTCAATTTTTAATCTCACCATCAAAATAAGCCATATGAGAAGGCTGGAAAATCAATGACAAGAGCTGATCTCCAGTCCCATTGCCCAACTAAGAATCTACCTTTTTACTTCCTTTCATTTCTACTGATTGGGATTACCACTTCAGAGTCTTTAAATTCAGGAGGCTAAAATTCCGTTTTCCGAGTGAAGAGGACTTGGCAAGGGAGAGCTTGATGTTGGGAGAGAATAGTGACCAGTGTAGAGGCCCAGATAGGTAGAGAGCCAGCAGGGTTGCACTGGCCATTCAGACAGGGGCAACATTTGCCATTTTGGTTCGGATGAAGCACCTTGGCTTGTTTGAATTCTCTGCCTTATTTCCTCAGTCTTCCATCTAGTGATTTTTCTGGCACTTGTCAATGACTGCTTAAATGTAAGAACTGAATAGGTCAAGTTGTTAAATCTCACATTGAAGTAACATATGGTGACATTACTTTTCACTAAGCATGAAATATTCTTTAGGGATTATAAGTAATCACTTCCAAGATGAATGACATTTCTGTGTTACTTTTCTTGTAGCTGTGACAAGAAGCAACTTTAGGGAGGAAGGGTTAATTTTGTCACACAGTTGAGGGTGTAGTCCTACACAACAAGAGAATGAGGCAGTTGGTTACATTGCCTCAGGAAGCAGAGAAAGATGGATACCCTTGCTCAGCTAGCTTTCTGTTTTGTGTGCAGTCTGGGACCCTAGCCCATGGAGTGGCAGCCCATATTCAGAGTGGGTCTTCCCACCTCAGTTAATGTAATCTAGATAATCCCTCACAGGCATGGCCAAAGACTTATCTCTGAGGTGATTCCAGATCATGTCAAGGTGACAATATTAACCATCATATTTGCCAAGAATGATGTGAATGGACTTGGAATACAAATGTAGGACTCTTTTCACTAAACCATTTCTGTTAGTAGTAGAAG